GTCGCCGCGCGCCTCGCGCGGCGCGGGGTGCACACGGCTGCCGATCAGCGGGCTGCGGTTGTCCACGCCATTGGCGCCGTCTGTGCTGCTGCCGCTGTCGCCACGGCTCTGCTTGCTGTGCTTGACGGGCGCCAGCGCCAGCCCCGCCTGGGCGCTCGCAGACGAGCCCTGCCTGGTGGCCAGCACGCCCGCTTTGGGCGCTGCCGCCGTAGCGTGCATATCCTGTTTGGGAAGAGGGTTGGCGGCGTGTTGCGCGGAGGTGTTTGCTGCTGCCAAAGCAGCAGCAGCGGCAGCAGCGGCTGCAGAGGGCAGCGGGCAGCGGGCAGCGAGCAGCGACGGTCAACCCACAGCGGTGCCCGCAACGCCGCCCCAAGGCTGCCGCCCTCGCAGAGTCCCACAATGCACTCCATTACATGTGGCGAAATCCCTTTCCTCGTCCGCACCTCCTCCGTGGAGCTTTCACTATCAAGCCGCAGCAAACGGGGTCCTGCTGACGTCCGCATGCCGTCCTTGAAGCTCATGCGATAGAATTCGATGATCTTATGCGCTCAGTGCGCCCGATTCCTCATGAACTGGTCGCTGTCAGGGGGTGCACAGAGCATGCTGTTTGAGGCCCTGTGCGAGGCTTTGTTGGGATACAGGACCCCTGGTTGATACATTACTGCGTATGCTAGCGCCCCATTTACCTCAATACATCGTAAAGCAAGGCTGACAGCCGACTGGGACGAAACTCACTTTGAAACCGCTGTTGCGAGCGAGCCCCTAGAGCTGAGTAGCAACAAACTTTCCTCGATTAGCACATACTGAAACCTAACAAAGCCGGCTGGCTGCTGACCAGAACACCGAGGCATCCATCCATGAAGCAGCTGCTGATTATTCAACGTGACCGCAGGTTGCGCCCCAGGTGATGCGAAGAACAAAAATCAAGGATCTCATGTACGCGGATACTCAGCGGTTACATCATGGCCTTGCGGGCACCTCGCCTGCTGCTTGGTACGCAGCGGCACATGATCTTTGCGCGGGGCAGCCACAGCCCATTGGTTTCTAACATCCATTGAATCAAACCACTGAACATTTATGTGTACTGCTGCCTAGTCGTCAGGGACATGTTGCACGTGTGCTTCCTCTGCTTGGACTAGGGGCGCTTGTTGCGCCGCTGTGGCTATCGACGCCGCCGCCGAATGCATCATGCCACACGCACGCACGCCACGCGAACACCACCGTAGGATGTCATGTGTATGCATCCGAGGGCCGCGACGCGGCGGTGATTGCCCGCCTAAGGGACCTGTGCCGCGCGCAGCCTGGCGTGCTGTTGGCGGCCAGCTTTGTGGACGAGCCCTACCACCGCAGCAGCTACACCCTCGTCTCGCCCAGCGCACCCGCGGTGGGCTGGGTTGTAGAGTAACTGGATTTTCCTAGCACGGCTTTGGGGCAGTTGTGGTGGCACTATGCACTGCATGCCACAATGCCAACGCCATGCTTCCGACCATGGCGCACACAAGTGTCAAACCCACGTGCACCCACGTCAGTTCCTGCACACGCGTTTCCTTGCAGCTCGAGTCCGCGGTCGTCACGGTGGCGGAGGCGGCGCTCGCAGCAATTGACCTGCGCGGACACAGCGCAACCCACCCACGGCTGGGCGCGCTCGACCACATCAGCTGCCACCCGGTACCTGCGTCCCTCGGACGCGGCCCCGTCGGCGGCAGCAGCAGCAGCGGCGACGCCGGCGGCAGCAGCAGCAGGGGCGAAGTCGGCGGCAGCAGCAGAGGCGCCGGCCCTGATGCTAGGGCTGCGTCCGGGGCGCATGCCAGCACCAGCTCTGGCGGAGGGGCGGCAGGCAGCTCTCAGCTCGCCGCGGCAGCGCAGCTAGCTCGGGGCATCGGCCTGCGGCTCGCCGGCGGGGGCGCTGGCCTGCCCGTTTACTTCTACGGGGCGGCGCACCCAGAGGGGCGGAGGCTGGCTGAGATCCGACGGCAGCTAGGTGCGTGGCGTGGCCGCCGCGGTCTTGTTTCCTTTGAAACAGTAGGGAAACAACAGCAGAGCAGACGGCGGGCTCCCTGTGGCCGCCGTCGGTCTGCTCAGGCACAGACACCTGTATCACACCCAAACCCCACGCCGCATGCCAGGCTATTTCGGGTCCACCGACGCGGGCAGCAACAGCTGGCGCGGCGCCCTGGCCGCGGGCGCCGACTTGTCGCTCTACCCCCCAGACGCCGGCCCCCTGGCGGCCGACCCCCGCCGCGGCGTGATCACCGTCGGCGCGGTGCCCTGGATCGTCAACTTCAACGTGCCCATCAGGACCGACGACGTGGCTGCGGCCCGGCGCGTGGCGCGCGCGGTCGGGGAGCGGGGCGGCGGGCTGGCCGGCGTCGAGGTGGGTGCGGGCGGCGCGTCTTGTTGGCTCGGGCTTTGTCAAAAGAGAAAGATTTGGAGCGCCCGCTCCCGCGAAGCACAGCGAGCGAGGATGCTAGGCCACCGCCTGTCAATGCCGCACAACACGCCGGTGCATTTGGGTGTGGTGCTCATGTGCGAGGAGCCTTTCGGATGTTGGCGTTTTGCTTTCAAAGTGCTGCGTTTGCGCCTGCCCACACACTTGAGCAGGCAATGGCGTTGGCCCACAGCCCAGGCGTGGTGGAGGTGGCGTGCAACCTGCTTGACCCGGGGACGTCGCCGCCACAGGTGCGAGGCGGGCTCATCTCAAGGCGGGAGGGGAACATGCCGACTTGGAAGGGAGCCGGAGGGCAGGGTATGGCGTGGCAGGCTCGCGTAGGCGTACTTGGAGGTTCCTTGGAGGTTGCTAGCACCAAACAAAGTGCGCGCTCCCTGCCTCTGCGTCGCAATGCGGCCTCGCGGTGCACGGCATACATGCTGCTCCTGGACAGGCGGTGATCTCAGCCATCGAAGCGGCAGCTGCACGGGAAGGCCTGCGGCCGGTGGAGGGGGGCGCTTACGTCATCGGGAAGCTGCCCGATGAGATCATTGCTGCGGCCGACGCGCAGCTGCTGTGAACGTGAACGTGGCGGCAGGGCTGTTCGCCCAGCTGCAGACTTTCTTGCAGTGGCACGTGTGCCAGGGTTGCGCCAGCAGCAACTCTTGTACGTGTGTGCTGCAGCAGACTGTAAGTGCATGCTTTATACCACCATCATGTTGAGCCATGTGCCATGGTGACAGCTGGTGGCAGAATCGCAGGTACGAGGCCCGTCTGGTAGCGCTCTATTGCTGGCTGATCCCCTCCTCCCGAATTTCGCTCAGAAGCCATCCCAACACTAGAGGGGGGTGGGATGCCGCGTGTGACCCTGTGTGCAATAGGTGACCCTGGGCGTGAGGCACATGGACCCTTCCCAGACGCGCCCCGCCGGAGCACGACGGCGGGGCGCTGCAGGGTCATCAAATACAGCTTCAAGCAAAGCATTGACTTTCAGGGACCACGCTGGCCTTGGGGGGGGGGGGCATGCACGGCGTCAGTTGGGGCATGGGCTGCGTCAGCTGCCTCTGCGGGCATGGCAGGTCATCAGCAGGGGCGCGACTGGTCCTGCCGAAGAAGTCCAACAACAAAACACGTTGGCCAATCGCTGATAGTTTGAAATCAAACGGAGCTTATTTGGATCAAAATACGCATCGCACACAGACACGCAAGGCTGTCCGCCCTTGAGACGCGTGAGCTAAGGGCGGAGAGATGCCTGCGCCGTAACGTTTTCTGAGTTATATCTGAACATCTTAGCGTTGCGAGCTTGGAGGTCTACGCGAGGACAGCTCACTCGCGTTCCAGCTGCGGCGCAGAGTCATCGCGCGCGCAATCCAGCGATGCTGCTCCCACTAGCTGCGCCCGGCTGCCCGGCTGTAGCTCACAGCAGTAGAGGTGCGCAATCTGCGACCTCTTTGGTGCCTGGCGCCTGCTGCCTAGCGCCGAGGCGCCGCGGCGTCGCGCCCGCCACGGGGCGAACCAGGGTGGTGGCCGCGATAGAGCCGCCGACAGCAACCCTTCAGCAGCAGCCGCGCGGCGCGGCGCCGCACGACGCGGCTTTCGGCGCCGGCGCTCGGACGGTATCCAGCAGCGAGGCGGCAGCGGCGGCGGTCTGGCAGATCGGGCTCGGCAGCGCAACGGTGGGCGCGCGCGCTCTGCACGGCCGCCCCGCTGTTCCGCGCAGGGGAAGCTGGGGCGGCAGGGGCCGCAGAAGCTGCCGCTGCACGCATTCGGCCGCCGCCGCGCCCACGCTCGCCGTGTGCGCCCATGCGCATCGCCTTGCCTTGCGCTTGTGGCCCTTCGCATGTCATAAACACTTTCTTATCCTTTCATATCATGTACCAGGCCAACGGACCTCATGAAAAGAATGAGGATGCCGCCGTCATTGCGCGCCTGCTGCGCCCTGACCCCACGAGCAGCAGCGACGCCGGCAGCAGCAGCGACAGCGGCGGCAGCGGCGGCGGCAGCGGCGGCGGCGGCGCGTGCGGCATATCTGTGTGCGCCGCGCACACTGGCGCGGGCCTCAAAAACGACGACCCCCCAGGCCGGCCGCTCGTGAACAACCCCCGCGCGCCGCTCTCCGCGCGCGCCGCGCGGCTCGCGGCGAACGTGCGCGCCACCAGCCTGCAGTGCGCCGCGGCGGCAGTCGCCGGCGGCTGCGGCGGCGGCGTCGGGTGCGCGCCCACGGTGGTGGCGCACCTGGCCGGCGTGCTCGACGGCCATGGCGGCCGCGGCACCGCCAAGTGGGCTTCGCGGCGGCTGCCGACCCTCATCGCCGAAAATCTGCAGCGGGACCCCTCCCTCAGCCTCACAGCCGGTGCGCGCGGCGGGCGGGCGTGCACGGATGGGGCAGGGCGGGCGCCTGCGCCCTGTTGCTGGGGAGGGCCAAGGGAGGCCTCCGCAGGGCCACCAGGAGCAAGCTTGCGGCGGCGCATGTCAACAGCCGCCCTCGCGTCGTGCGCAGCGGGGCGGCCTCATCTCCCCCCCTCAAAAGCACACACGCCTCGCCGGGCCGCCTCTTTGACCTGGCACGCTGCGCCCCGTGTCTCCCTCCCCCCCCCCCCC